TGTGTCCTTCATGAGCATCAACACGCGTAATATGCTATACGAGCGTCGCTACGCCATCTATTTTGAGAGCGAGGCAGTGATGAAGGCCTATGACCTACTGATGGAGCACTCTTGCCCCCTCTGCAAGGACATCCCTCCCTTCAAGAACTTTGCCATGCTCAAGGACCACATGCGTAAGAACCACGAGCTCTTCTACTGTGAGCTCTGCGTCGACCACCTCAAGGTAGGGGTTCTGCTTGGAGGTGTTTAGTTTCATTTATTATTTTTTTTAATTTGTTGAATTATTTGTTATTATTTCAAGCATTTATTCACTCCATTTAGTCTTTCATTTGCTATTGTTTTTCATACATTATAATTCTTGATAGTAATAAAACATGATAGTAATAATAATGATCGATGATGATGATGATGGTGGTAATGATGATGATCATGATAAGGATGATGAGGATGATCATATTTATAATAATAATAATAATGATGATGATGATACCAATAACAGTATTGTTATTATCATCATCATATTATAGTTATTATTGTTATTATGATGATGATGATGATGATGATGATGATGATGATGATGGTGATTATGATGATCATGATGATAATAATGATGATAATAATAGCAGTACCAGCAACAACAACAATATTGTTATTGTTATTATTGTCATCGTTGTTGTTGTTGTTGTCATTCTTATCATCATCATCCTCATCTTCATCATCGTCACCATCATCATCATCATCATTATCACTGTCACCGTCATCGGTGATATTATTATTTTTCTTTTATTATAGTGCTTAATGATTATGAATAAGGTTATGATCAAGATTATGATTATGAATATAGTTGTTATTGTTATTACTATAGTTGTCATTGTTATTATTTACTTATATATATATATATATATATATATATATATATATATATATATATATATACTTGTTTTTTTTTTTTTTTTTAGAAATCCTTATGTATTGTATATTGTATTAATATTTTTTCTTTCTTTATTAATTTGCTTACAGATCTTTACAGGGGAACGTAGGTCATACACAAGGAGCCAGTTGGCCCAGCACAGGCGCAAGGGGGACACAGATGACACTAGCCATCGGGGCCATCCATTGTGTGAGTTCTGTGATGCTAGGTTCATGGACAACGATGAACTCTTCCGGCACCTTCGGCGTGACCACTTCTTCTGCCACATATGTGACCGACTCACTTACTCATTATTATGAGTAAGTAGGCGAGAGAGAGAGAGAGAGTTATGGAAGTGATTTGGAAGACATTCACAAACAGCCCTAATGACAGAAAGACAGGCAGACAGACAGACACTTTATCTTTTATTATAATTCTCTTCTTCCTTCCATGTAAATGGTTTGTTTATTCATGATGTTGAATAGTGAGTAGGCATTCCAACCAGATTTTCAATTAGGCATTCCAACCAGATTTACAATAAGGTATTCAAACCAAGATTTACAAGTAGGCATTCCAAGCAGATTTTCAAGTAGGCATTCAAATCAGATTTTTAAGTAGGCATTCAAATCAGATTTTTAGGTTGGCATTCAAACCAGATTTTCAAGTGGGCATTCAAACCAGATTTACAATTTGGGATTCAAACTAGATTTTCATGTAGGCAAACCTGATGAATAGCATCTAATTGCTTGGATGCCACATATCCTTTAATGCAATGACATTTTATTATTGCTTTTTTGATCATTGTCTGAAAACAAGAATGGAAGTCTTACAGTTTCACTAATTGCGACATTCACTTTACCACAGAGACTACAGTGCCTTGCGAGAACATTTCCGCGCAGATCATTACCTCTGCGAAGAAGGAGGATGCCAAGAAGAGCAGTTTACATCAGTATTTCGCACCAAACTTGATCTCCAAGGTATTGGATGCATATCATTACTTTAATAATTGTTTTCTTGGTGTTGATAAATAACTTGGAAATAGATCTTAAAAAAAAAACAGTAAGAATTTAATTTTGAAAGGGATGGCTACATTAAACTGGTATTCAGGTTTTTGTGTAAACTTGTGCATTATCCTTTTATGATAAGTTGTGAATACTTGTTAGTTGTTCCTCTTAAGACAAAGGAGTAGGTACATTCTAGGCCTTTCAGGTGAATCATGTATCCATAAGCAACCACTCTGTCTGAGGCCTTGACATTAGCCTGTTTTACTATTATTTTTTAAAGAAAAGACCTGGCACAGCAGTCTGACTTGAGTGATAGTATATTAGTTCTTGTATCATTTTATTTTTTATTTTTTTTTTTATTCAATAGAAGCAGTGTTATTTATGTATGGCTATTATAGTGAAGCATTATAACTAGAATTACCAGAGAATGAATATAGAGTTTGAGATTGAAATGTATCAAATACACCTCTTGCACAATAAAGTTATTTATTCTCATTGATACCTTTTTTCCTACATTTGGCACAAAGAACCATTCAGGAGTAGGATAAGTACCTGTGTAAACTTCTAACACCATATATCATAAATAAATGAGCTAAACATTGTCTAAATCATGTTCCAGCTCATATGGCACAGAATCACTCGTCGAACTTGAGCAAGCAAGCTGCCCGACAGGCCCGTACGCTGGACATCGAGTTCACGTTGAACCACCGACAGCAAGACAGCAGCCGGCATGATGAGAGGGGTATGAGGGGAGGCAGAGGGGGCCGAGATGGACGAGGGAGAGGAGGGAGGTAAGAGCACTCTTGTTGGTATTGCTACGAAGAAACATAGATAGAGAAATGACTAATAGGTAGGTGGTTGAAAAGATTGACAGAATGTTGCATGGATAGATTGATTGGTAGATAATTGATATATAGACAGATATACCTAGATAGGCAGATGGATATACGAGTAGGTGCAGCAGTAACTACATGTTGATTAAATAAAATTTCATGGATGTCATTATTTTTATGATTGAAACAAATTTGTTATTATTAAGAAAAAAAAAATCGAATTAATCTAATTAATCTTGAATTTATTGATGTAAGAAAGGCAAGGGATATTTAGCCTGATTTTATGCATTCCAGACGAGATCGAGACAGAGATCGAGAATATGAAGAGCAGCAGTTGCCTGACGATATGGACAGCAGACCTCCTGTGACGCAACATTCCATTGATATCAACTGTGTGCAAGATTTCCCCTCCCTGAATGGTACTGGACCAGGATCAGGAGGGGAAGCTGGAGGGGGAGGGGGAAATAGGTCCATGGCGTCGCATTTAGCCAAACAGAATCGATTTACAGTAAGAGCCTCAGGTAGGGGTAGGAGTGTGCTAGACGAAGAATTTCCTTCTTTAGGGTCGACAAGCGTCACAGTTAGTACGGCTCAGGCCACTGCTCAGTCCCCAACGTCGCCCACTACCTCAGTGCATCTTAAAGTAAATACGAAAAAAGCTGTGAGGGATGGACAAAATGCAGGCCAGAGGAGCAGTAATGTTTCAATACAGTACAATCGCACGGTCCCTGCTGCAGCAAATGGGCCCCAGGGTTCAGGTGCAGAAGGTGAGGGTGGCAATGGTGCAGGGCCTCGTATTGGTGTTATTTCACATAGCAGTAATATTACTCTTCGAAGCAAAGCTAATAACAAGGCCAAAAGTAAAGGGTTGGAGGAAGACTTCCCAGCTCTTTCTGTTTCTACAAAAACGACGAATGCTGGCATGGGGTCGAGTGGCTGGGGGTCAACAGCAGCAGCACCAGCACCCAGTATGCCAGCCAGTGCACCAGTTAATATTTCAAAAAATATGAAAAAAGATTTTCCAGCTTTAGGGCCATCAGCTGGGGCTCCTTCAGTTGCGCCTCCTTCGAAACCTGGAAAGAAATTAAACCCAAAAGATTTCCCTTCCTTAGCGCCAAATCCTGAGAGTCAGACGCACATGAAAAATTATCATGGTCGTTCTAGTGTTACAATACCTGTGAGCAATGCCTGGACACACACAGTTGACCAGGTGCCCAAAGCGTCAGATGGAAATGAACCTTCAAGTTCCAAGAGTAAGAAGAAGAAAAAGGGAAGCAACAAGAGTGCAGCTGATGTGACCAGCAATAGCAGTGCCAACTCAAACCAAAGTAGCAGTAATAGCACCTCAAATAGTGTGTCAAATGGCCCTGCGAAACCCAGCACCAAGAAGAAGCCTGTTGGTTTGCACAATATCTTTGATGATGACAGTGATGAAGATGCAGTTACAATGGATTTGAGTATGGGGAAATTGGGTGACTATCAGTCTATGGCTCCTGTAACAAGCTCAAACCTTAATATGATCACCAGTGATATGGTTAATGAGAGGAAAAAGTCTGAATTGAAGATTGGTACCTTGCGGGCCCCCCCTCCGAAGCTGGATAATGATGATGCTTTCCCAACCTTGGGGGGATCATTTTCACCCTCACCCCTGGCTACCTCTACCTGGTCATCCCCAGCAAAGAGCACAGCTCCACCAGGCTTCTCGAGCAAGCCCAAGGTTCCCCCAGGTTTTAGTGCAACAGACATGACCTTTACAAGTAGCTCTGGGGAGAAGTTTGCAATTTCTCCTACCTCTGAGGCTGCTGTATCCACATCAGCATTCACAGCCCAACCCACTACCACCTACACCTTCCAGCTACCACCAAGGTTTGAGCTCCGCAACAAGAGGCTTATTAAGACAATCCATGATGAGTGTAAAGGAGATGAGGACAAGTTTGATTGCTTCAAGATGCTGGCCGGTCAGCTGCGTAGTGGAGATCTCTCAGGGCACATGTATTATGAACAGTGCCGGGAAGTTATGGGCAAGGCTATCTTCCACAAGATACTCCCAGAGCTTTTGGTTCTCTTACCTGACATAAAAAAACAGCAGGTTAGTTTTCTTGTTCATTATAGTACCCAGTTGTTAGTGGTTAACTATCATAGTCTTCCAGTTGCTTGATATATAGTGTTTGTGTCATATCTGTTATGAATAAATCAAAGTTATAAAAGTCTTGTGAAATATGTTGGGTTGTCATCTTAATCACTCATAATTATTTTATTATATATTTTTACATTCATTTATTTTTATTTTTAAAAGTATTATATATTCTTAATGTTGATTGTCATTCCTTGTCATTTCGATACTTTAAAATTTGTTATGAAAACACAAAGAATGAGACGTAGTTTCATTATGCAGACCTTTTCTTCTTTATATAATAGAGAAGGTGTAAAAATTAAGTGCACATGAAAGGTACTACCCCTGTCCCTCTCAATCTCATTTTCCTTCATTACAGGAGGTGTTGGCAGCATATCGGAAAGTGGATGGAGGGCGAGGCTGCTCCACCGTGTTCGCTGTGTGTGTAGTTTGTCAGCAGGTACTCAGCCAGGATGACTACTCTGAACACATGGACAACCATGACCAAAATGCTTCGGACTTCCCTTCCTTAGGCAAGCCAGCCCCTCACCGGTTTCAGAAGTAAAATGCTCCAGATTCAAGTTGCAGTGATTAGGGTAGGTGGGGACGGGAGTTGCAGGAGAGACTCCCACTTTTCTACGCTTAATTGGTGAATCACAGTGCTGTGTTTATAGGTGGTAAAACTGAATTTTTTTTGTTTGTCTGATGTTTGTGACTGAATTTGCTATAAATTTGTATTCCCCCTCTTGATGTATTATTTTGAAAAGTTAGTGAATTGATTTGGGGGGGGAATTGGATGGGATAGCACAGTTTATTTTCCACTAAGCTCAAGATTTAGATTTATGTGGATCAGACTTTTTTGGAATTGTACATGGTGGAATCTGGCTCATAGGAATGGAATTGTCATACTCATGCATTTTTACAGATTTATATTTATATATTTTTGTTTTGTTTTATGAACTTCCACTTTGTCACCTCATCATATCAGGCTTCGTAAATTTGCTCACTCATAGTTGATTGCGTTCAACACTTAAACTTGCTCAAGACTACAATGAAAGAGTGGATTGTGTTGTGCCACTGGGACTGGGCAGTGAGAGTGTATGGATATTGCACAGGGAGTTGCAGATGCATTTTGTATTATTATTACAGCTATTTTATTTTTTTATTATTATTTTTCTTTCTTTTTAGTGATCATGATTTCTTGTTTTTTTGTGATGATGATTTCACAGTGTTCATAATCTGATGATACGGGATGCAATCATAGTCCTTATAATTTTCTGCTAAAGTTGTATATTTGAGTTTTACTGTATGCATATTTAACATTTTAGTGGGATATTATTGAGAAATAGATCACTGAATAAGACTAAAAGTTTTGTCTGTGTAATACAGTTTACAATTTACATCTGATAAAATTTGTTTGTGCTTTTCTCCTAACTCTCATCTTTTTATATGTACTATGATTGTTTTTGTTCCTTTTTAGTTCATAAATTGTAAAATTATTGCATTTTTTTTATTTTGATAAATCTAATTTATTTGTTGCTATTATTAGTAGTATGAGCAAAGAGAAAGGAAAGTAAAATAAGAATACAAAGGATAGATTTTGAAAGAACTGAAGTTTTTCCATTTCCAGCAAAGGTGATGAATTGTAGCTAAAAGTACCATAATTTCTTTAGTAATGTCACTTCAAGCCAGTTCTCTGTGCCATGTGTAATTCTCATCAGCTTGTATCTTTGCTTTTTATATATCACTTGATTTTAAGGATGAAACAAAATGAGAAATTTATTTAATTTTACATCACAGCTTGTGCTGAAAGTTACTACAAAACTACAAGATAATATCTTGTTGCCTTTAGATGTTGATGCAAATGTTTCAGTCACTTGCATCTGTTTAAATCTTGTACTTTTTTCTGTTTTATATATAAATATATATATACTGACTGTGTTAATGTTGGTGGAGGGACAGCATTTGTCTGAAGGAGATATGGCCCAGGTGGCCAGTGATGTGTTTGTAGCCTCATATTTTTTACGTTTGGTTCAGCTGATTGTTGTCTCCCTACCTCCCCTTTATTACACCCCATCTTGCCTCCCTTGGCTAACAACTGCATAGCCTGAATTGAGTTTGTTTACACCCCATACAGTCACTCAGTTAGTAATGCTGTATTTCCCTGCTAATGGTTTTATGTTGACTTGAACCTCTGCTTTATCCAACCAGAGGCAATCAGTCGGATGTGTACTTGATATCTGTTGCTGTATACACTCAAGGACTACACTGGTCATTTAGTGGGAAGGCGTTGATAAGGCGATAATGTCTGTATAATTTTCATTTAGGACTTTGATTTATGATGAAAAATATAGCCTGTTTTGAAATTGCAAATGGAACAATGAAAAAATCTGATAGTGTCTAGGTTGTGATCATTGCAAGGATTATTTTATTTATATACTTATTTTCTTTTACTACAAATGAAATGCTGTTTTATTGAAATATTCTAGATACATCAGAAAGCAAATATGAGTGTTTTTCCACATTCAATAATAATGCTAAAGTTGGTGTCATTATAATTGTGATGCAAACCTACAATCCATTTCAGACAGTGAAAATATTCTTGCTTTACACTCACTGATATCAGATGTCCTTTGAACA